TCTGGTGGTATATTTAAACATTGCATCAAGCGTTGAACTGGATCTTTAGTATTCAAGGTCATCAATCTCCATGTGATTAAGTCACACAATGGATTCAAACTATCGTAAAACAAGATTTAAAAAAAAGACTACAACATATAGCTGGAGTATCTCAGCAGGTCTGGCAGCATCTGTGGAGAGAAAACAGAGTTAACATTTCCAGTATAGTGATCCTTCTTCAGAAGTTCTGAAGTGTTGAGTTTCCCCAGCAATTTTTTTGTTTTCTTTCAGATTTCCAGCATTCACAGGTTTTTTTTTTGTTTTATCTGAAGGTAAATAAGATGTTTTCCAAATGAATTCCTGCAGAAGATATGATCCACGTTTATTGTTTGGATTTGAAGTTATGCCGCAATGATAGTACGTTGTCCTGCAAAGCTTGCCATGTGTACATTGGCTGCCACTTCCTTTATTGCAAAATAAAAAAATAGCAGTAGGAAGAGGTCATTTGAACCCTCGAGCCTACTCTGCCTTTCAGTAAGACCCTGGCTGATCTGACTGAGGCTTCAACTCGACTTGCCTGTCTGACCTTAACCCATAAACCCCCTTCTCAATCAAAAATCATTTTACTTTATGTTTTATCTTATTTGTAATGACTTGGGTTGAATTTATGCCTTAAGGTAATGAGTAACTTGTCCTTTTCCTCTCTCTTTACCCCCTCCTCTCAGAGGAACAGGCAAAACTACGATTTCAGATGGAGCTCGAGTTTGTACAGTGTCTGGCGAACCCAAACTATCTGAACTGTAAGTGTCAGTGGGATCCTCCTGGGCAATTGTCAAGTTGCTGTTTACAGCAATAACATTGTAAAGTTGAAATCACTGAGCTTCATTTCAACTACCGACAGGTGTCTCTCTCTTTTCTGCATTAGGCAGCAGATCAGTGTTATTGTCACCCTCTTGAAGCGTGTCTGTCATCGAACCAGACTTGGACCCATAGATAGAGACTGTTTGAGAGGGAAGTGAGTCTCTTCTGATGTAACTTGAAATGAAGCCTTAGGTAGGGAAGGGGAAGTGCAGGAGGCACTGAGCACCAAAGTGTCTGCTCCAGTGAGGTGTGGCCCAGCACTAGATGCGATGCACTTGAAGAGTGTAATAGTCCCACTCACTTTGATGAAGTAATGTCTGTAATGACAGGGAACTGCCTCCCATGCCCTGGGATGGTACTCCCTAGGTGACAGTGTCGTTCTCTCTTCAAGATTACCTTAGTGCTGGTGACAATACAATAATTGTCTTCTTGTTTCAATGTGGCAGTTCTGGCACAACGAGGGTACTTCAGAGACCGAACATTTGTCAATTACTTCAAGTATCTGCTGTACTGGAAGGAGCCGGAATATGCCAAGTACCTGAAGTAAGTATCCACCCCCACTGGACAGTTCTTCACAGTAATCTTTGTCGTAGGATCAATATCCACGGTGGCTCAGTGGTTAGCGCTGCTGCCTCACAGCGCCAGGGACCCGGGTTCGATTCCACCCTCGGGCGACTGTCTGTGTGGAGTTTGCACATTCTCCCCGTGTCTGCGTGGGTTTCCTCCCACAGTCCAGAGATGTGCAGGCTCGGTGGATTGGCTATGGGAAATTGCCCGTAGTGTTCAGGGATGCCTAGATTAGGGGGATGGGTCTGGGTGGGATGCTCTGTGGGCCACTGTGGACTTGTTGGGCCAAAGGGCCTGTTTCCATACTGTAGGGATTCTATGATTCTTATCCAGGATAACTCCAAATGCTGTACGTTCCATTCCTTGCCTGAAGGCATTTGCTGTTCACTGGGATAAAATGCATTCCGGTAAATTATACAACTCAATCTGTCACAGTAAATCTCAGAAGGGTGAGGAACAGCACCCCCATCAAACACTCCCAGGACAGGGACAGCACGGGGTTGGATACAGAGTAAAGCTGCCTCTACACTGTCCCCATCAAACACTCCCAGGACAGGGATAGTATGGGATTAGATGCAGAGTAAAGCTCCCTCTACACCGTCCCCATCAAGCACTCCCAGAACAGGGACAGCACGGGGTTAGATACAGAGTATTTCTGCCTGTACTTCTGCAAGTTTCCCCAGTGTTTCTTGAAGTTCCCTCCTCATTCCCTCGTCTCTTTCCCACGCTTCCTCCACACTTTCCTCCTCTCCCTGCAGCCTCCATCGAGACCTCTCTGCCAGTCTGTGTCTCAGTGTCTGTTTCTGTCACAGGTACCCCCAGTGCCTCCACATGCTGGAACTGCTGCAGTATGAGCACTTCCGCAAAGAGCTGGTCAATGCGCAGTGTGCCAAATTCATCGACGAGCAGCAATTACTGCACTGGCAACATTATTCACGGAAACGAGTGAGGCTGCAGCAAGCACTGGCTGAACAGCAACAGCAGAACATCACATCCAGCAAGTGAGGGGACTGTACTGTTGGCTGAGGGTCAGGCAGGTGGATTGAAGGAACCTGTGACAGAATGTGTGAGGAAGCCCTGTCCTGAAGTGATAATACACAGACGTTTAATTCAGTGGCATTGAGGAGATTCTGGAGAGTGAGGGGAGGACAATCCTCCCCTCCGTATTTCTGTTACATGAAGCACAAATTAACAGGAAGGAGCCTATTGAGCTGAGTGCCTCCTGTTCAGACCTTGACTGGATGTAACAATAGTGTAGTTGCCTCTTGGACTGAAGAAGCTAAATTCGTCAAGGTTAATTCCAGAAAGTTAACTTAAATGTTGCAGAGCAGATCACAGCCATATTGGGGAGTGTTAGGTTTTTATACATGAATAGTACAATGTAATGTAGTTATCACAAGGATTCACATCTGAGTGAGAGTCATTCTGTGAAATAATAAACCAAATGGTTACTGCAATGCCTATATGACTCTATAAAACATGTAAAGAGAATTTAGAACAATATAACATGGATAGAGTCCTGGTGGGGACAGGTCTGTCACTGTATAACGCTGGGGCACAGTACTGGTGGGAACAGGTGCATCCCTGTATAACACGGGGCACAGTACTGGTGGGGAGCGGTCTGTCCCCGCATTACACTGGGGGACAGTACCGGTGGGGACAGGTCTGTCCCCGCATTACACTGGGGGACAGGTCTGTCCCC